TTTTTTTTTTTTTTTCATCTTAATATTTTATAGTATTTGTAATGTAATGATTCTTTGGAAGCTATTTAAATGATATAATAAAATTATCTTTTTAAATCCAAACAAAGGTACGAAAAAAGTTTTTTAAATAAAATAGTATTTTTTTTATAAAATAGTTAAATTAGTACTAGTGTATGATTTATACTGGAATATGGAAAGGACACAATAATAAAAACTGAATTCATGTGCATTACTTTTATTTCGAGTGTCATCTAATATTTACGTTCCATCTCTATTATTTTTATAGTATTATAAAATTTCATGAGAATTATTTAATACTTAAGATAAAGAGGTATTAAGTGTTCCATTAAAATTTAGTAGATTTTGTAATATAATGTTTACAAAGGATCGATGAGTCCTAAAATATACGTTTATTATGTCACGCAGGTTCGATGGCGAAATGAGAAGATATCTCAAAGATAATAAAAAGTGTCTTTGTTTCTAGTGTGATGTGATTAAAAATACGTTTTAAGCTAAATATGACAAAACAACATACATAAATAGTGGAATCATCTAAAACTATTTTTACTGTGTAAATTATTTTAGACGATGTAAAATGTTTGACTGAAATCGTGTGTTAGACATAATTATGGAGTCTTTTTTATGTTAAAGACTCCTAAATATAAATAACAGAAAAAGTAAGAACCCAAAAAGAATATTATACGTTGAATTTATCATTAATTAAAAAATTGTTTTTCGAATAGGATTATGTAACTATTAACTCACTGACATAGTATGAAATCTGGTGTGTTAGTATTAAGTATGAAATCTTAGCTATACTATTTCCTGTCAGATATATAAAATTATACAGAGATAATAAAGGATTTATTGAACAATGAAGTTACAACTCATATCACATGTTTCATTCGTTTTTTCTTAATTTTAGAAAATGCTGTCAAAGCACATATACATTTGTATTTCGGCGTAAGCTAGTCTTCTAAAACTGTCATAGTAACCATTGTATGTTAATTGAAATAAATGAAACATATAAACAGAAGTATTATTTTGTTAATAATTAAAACAATGTCTTTACTGTAATACATTCACCACTTTTATGGTTAATTTTCCATTTCACCATGGATCACCATAGATCCATTAAAGTAGAAACACAAGAAATTAAACCATCAATTAGAATTTAAACGATGTTCAACTTTCCAATACTCAAGGAATAGTCAATTAAGTAATCCCCAAAAATTCAGGAGTTTTCTTCAAACATCTATAATTCTCTTTATTCACTGAAATAATTTACAATCCAAAGCATTCAGTTAACAGCAGCTTATGAAAATGATTTTCGTTCAAGTAGTAGACTTATCGAGGGAGTATGTTGTAAAATTCAATCATAATGGTAGTTTTCCTACGAGTTTGAAAAGTCTTTGTTTGCTAACCGAGAGGTTTGTGGCCCGAGCCGAAGGCGAGGGACGTAACGAGGTTCGTAAAGGAGACTTTCCGAAAGAGTTCCGGAAAACTGCTTTTTCGCCCGAGGAAGTACCAGCCTCCCAAAACCACCCGAGGGCGGAAAAAATATTATCCTCAATGTTATGTTAATAAAATAACAGATTTTAAGGGAACCATTATTTCTACTTCTGAGTACGAATATATGTGATTGACTATTAGTTAGACCAAAATATGTCAACGATCCCGACCGATTCCAAAGTTTTCAATTAAAAATGATCAACGAAAAAACATATTTAAAATACCTCCAATGCGTCAAAATTGATTCATAGTTGATTTATTCAAAAATAACGTCTGAGAAAATGGTAGTTTTCCTACGAGTTTGAAAAGTCTCTGTTTGCGAACCGAGAGATTTGTGGCCCGAGCCGAAGGCGAGGTCCGTAACGAGGTTCATGAAGGAGACTTTTCGAACGAGTTCCGGAAAACTGCTTTTTCGCCCGAGGAAGTAGCAGCCTCCCAAAACCACCCGAGGGCGGAAAAAGTTTTTTACAGTTGTACCAAGTTTTATGTTAACAATAATCAACATAGTCATGTAAAAATAAAAATAAAAATTGTTTTACACTACATACTAAAGTTACAGATCTGAAGCATCATTTACCAGAGAAACGTAAGTACTCGCTGAAGGCAATTTTTGACTATCACCTACAATATAAATAAAAGATTTATAACTTTTTTGAAGTAAAATCATGTTTTTTCGAGACTAGAAAGTGGAGATGAATTTAAAACACAAATTTTCCTTTTTAGTTAATTAAAATAGTAACATCGTAAAAACATTCCATATATTTTTTAACAATGAAAATTTCAATAATTTAGCTTAAAGTGGACTTACTCCTCACGAAATTAAAATTCTTAAAATTAAAATATGTCAATAAAAATAATGACATAAACAATTACTCAACAAAGTAATAACCATTTTTTATGTTTAATTGTTACGAAACAATTAAATAATTTAAATTAGGTATGATGTTTACGAATTAAGACACGGCTGGTGGACACATAAAGAACTGTTATTTTAACACAGAAATCGTAGGGTACATAGATTTCAATGAAATCTTCGTGACCAGTATTGGATATCTATTATTACTCACAATTAACTACTGTTGGCAAAAGTGACAATTTTAGTTAGTTACTGGAAAAACAGTTTGGTGATTTAAATTTTGTTTATAATTTCATTTATCTGTCTCTTGCCTTGACATATTTGATATGCGTTAATTGATTTTTTTTCTAACTTATAACGTCTTAATAACGGTAATTATTGAAACGTGATTGTTCATAATTGCTTCGGACTCAAATGTTTTGTATAAACTGTAGCTAATGTTTTTACATCATACACACACTTTTACGTATGTACGTTTTCACGTTTTAACGTACCGTAGCATTTCAATTTCAAAATTTAAATTAAAAAATGTAGATAGTTATACAAGTTTCGATCAACGTAAAATTTACACTAGTTGTGCAAAACTGTTACATGGTGTTTGAAACATGCATTGGCAAATAATTATTTTTTATTAAATGTAACTTCTGGAAAAAATCAAGACTAGAG